TAGTCTGCGCGTGCTCGCAGTCTGAAATGCTAACATGGGAGAAATTTGTTTTCGACGTGCAAGTTTCTCAAAAGTCTTACTTTTGAGACCGAACACTAAATTGGCTACGATGAGGACATGGTTCCTGTGACTATCAATCTAAAACAGCCTATTACTATCTTGGCCCCTTACGAGAAGACTTTGCGACACTTGAAGCTTACATATTGACTAGTGTATGAGAGCCGATGGCCATATGTTCTACTAAACCAGAGCATGCCAAATTCATGGCAAATATTCGAGACGGGGCGGAATCCCCCAGCTTGCTGAGTGTTTGCGTTGACGAAAAGCCAAAACATCGGCACTGGAAGGGAGGGTATAATGGCTGATTCGACTATACCAGCTCAAAAATGACTGCCACACCCTTGATGGGTCGATTTGGGTGCGGTAATGTGCATGTGAGCATCAGCAAAGTTCCTGCTGATGTTGGTCGGCGACTGCATCAAGGGGGATTCTTAGCCAGGCGTTCAAATCCCGCACGGCAAGCATAGCATGCCATACGTACGTATCAAACTATACGCTGGTGCGCAATACGGGTTATGCACTGTGAAAAGAAATTTGGAAGGAGGTGGTAGCCACGTTTCATCGCCGGCGAAGTGGCAGATGTCACCAATTGATTCGGTGCGGTGGTTCGTGCGCGATTGCTGCACAGATATCCAGATATCCCCGCGGGGGATAGTGTGGTGGCGTTAGTGGCTGTGCGGGTGGCTGTGCGGGGGGCTGTGCGCGGTGACCACAACTCAATGTTTGTGAAGTCCGGAACCTCCATAGAGGCTTGCCTTATTCCTAGATGAGAACGCGCATCATCAAGATGAGCCCGGGAATACTCTCGTTTCACGGGGAGCGATACTAAAGAGCTACAGGATGCCCTTCCGTGCTGAAGAGGCGAAGCTCGAGTTGTGTCCCAGGCCCAACGCTCTTCGTAGGGAGCTTGTGTCAATCCTGATAAAGATTTTCTCTGCCAAGTCAGTGATGAGTAGTCCAGGAGCTATCTCATCAGAGCGCCGAACTGATTCAGTGTAAGCATTCGAGCGTGGGAAGGATGTGGCGGATCGATGGGGAAGGTCGTGTCGTCCAATCAGCGAAGCTGCAGCCATCTGAATGCAAAGAAGGCGACAAATCATTGTGCATGCGATGAATCTGCGCGCACCAGTATAGCCAATATCCCTTTCTCAAACGTGGAGAAGATGTGTTGTGCAATTAAGCTTCCGCGCTAAATCAGTCACATGCAGCCCGTAAGCTACCATCGTGCCCACGCCGCGTATCACCGCCAGAGTCCCATAAAGTGGTAACAAGATAGCCCTCATATCGAACATCTTAGGCTGGAATGAGCAGTGCGCTGAGTGAGGTCTGCTGCGCGATTGACGTGTGTACGCGGAGGACACAAGGGCGGCATGCGCAAGACTGGACCTCGGCTCTGGGCGGACATCGGAAACACGACATGCCGCCCACCCAACAACACCTCGGACCTTCTCGCAAGCGCATTCACGCCTGGAAGTCGGGCTATGCATTGATCGCCCGCCCTTGCATCAGTATGGCCACGACGAGGCGCCGGCACCAGAGACGACTACCTACGAACTCCATCGAGACACGCTCCAACATGCATCGTCCGTATACTCATCATCGGCCACTATCGGTGGCTACGACCCTCAAAGCTGCCACTGTGTCAAGCCAGGTCCCCATCATGCGCACCTCGCCCTTCGGCAATCGAACAAGAGTAGACGCTGCGCTCTTCTGCTAGTCTCATCTCAACGAGGAAGATGATGGGCCATCGGCTCAGACTGTGGCCTCGCACCTGCATTCGCAAGATGCATGCCATCCTCAGCTGCGCCGTTGGTACTCAGGTAGGATGAATCTCCGGGTAAGATCATCAAGTCGGTCTCTCAACAACTCTGCAAGGAAATGTAGGTCAGCCACGAAGCCTTTCATTAGTCAACTCTGTACAAGTGCGCATGGGCAAATGAGGGTCAGATTAACACAAGCATCATGTGTCCTTACCGCCATGGAGCCCTGCCCGTAAGTGTGCCGTTGTGATTGTTGCGACGCCTTCTTTGATATACGACTCCCAATCGTCAGATCGCTCCAACCACGAATACCCTCTAGTCTTGTACAGGAACCCCGCCCAGCAACGCGCTTACGCCAGCATATCCAGCTCCTTTTCCAGACCCAACACGACTTCGCATCTCGATAGGTCGCGCGTTGCCGAAGCAGCTCTCGTCGCGTCACTCATAGCGCTGGAGGGTCTATACAAAGTCTCGCCCTGGCTTGTTAATCTCGTTCGCGATGAATTGCGGCGAGCTCAAACGGAATGCTTTCCAACCACTCGATGAATGCCCTATGAAGGTCATTTAGGCAGGTTGCAAACACGCGGCGGATATGCTCACTCGAGCTTAATGGTCATGACCACGTGGTCGCCATCGCTCATATCGTCGATACTACTGTCGCTTACTTTGCCTGGATCGATACCTTCTTGGACCTCTTCGACGTAGCTGCCCCCGCCTTCTTTGCCCTCATCCGCCGCGTCTCTCGTGGTGAGCTCTCTGAATCAACGCTCCAGATGGCGGACACACTGGTCCCAACGCCTGTTCATCGCTTGTGGAGCATGGACGAGATGGATCAATCGGTCGTTTACGGACCGAAAAACTCCTGCGCAAACGACCATCTCATCGCGAACGGTCGCTTAGGTTGAGGCCTTGTGAACTTCGATGTCAGAGTCTCGGAAGTGCTGCGCTTTGGTGGGCGATCAAAAAGATGACGATGACTGGCCGAGGGGATTGCGACGCGTCGCGCGAGAATGGTGAGGGTGGTAGTAAGTCGGAGTAGTCGGAGTAGTGCGAAATGTTGGCTAGTACGGGTTGGCAAAAGATCGTTACGACATACACTTCTCCACGCTCACTGTCCCTTCCACCTTCACTACTACCTGTGAGATCGGGGCAGAGAAAATTAGCGCCTCATTGACAGCGGCCTGGATCGCTTGGTATCGCTGGTTAGGAACGAAAAGTTCGAAATTAGTCTCGCCATCCAAGATCGAGTACCAGAAGCTTCCCTGGCACCTGCGATCGGGTCGGCCGAGACAAACGGGTCGCCATCACGATTTATGTCGACTTGGGAGGCTGCATCAAATCTGAAGCAGTTGCGGCATTAGCCGTACAAATGTTGGAAGATGTCCCGCGGTCTGTGACGTTCACGTAAGCCGGCAGGTAGATGGAATATCGGAAAGTTCATGTCTCCCATCTCACGACGCCCGTCTCTCTCCTCCTTCGACATTCAAATGCCCACGTGCATCACGATTGAGTTCCACCAAATTTCTCAGCGGAATACTATCTCAGCGCGAATCTAATCACACCCGCTTCGAACCCCAGGAAGTGAGACCCACTGGGGCCAATACGGTCAGCCGCCGGTGTTCACCGCTTGGTGCGTACACAGGGTGAGAGTGACTGTGGAAGCGACCACCAACCGAGGTCTTCCACACCCGGAAATCTGTTCCTTGTGCCCAAGCGCTGCTGTCCTAGTTTCACGGAAAGTCATTTCCCCTACTACCGATATACAGCTCAGAAGACATCGCGCGACGTCAGCATAGAATGCACCGAATCCGCGAGGCTGTTCACCATTACCCTGCAGATCAGGATACATCTCCTCACCCCCAAGTGCCATCCGAGAACTCCCCGAAAGATGAAATGTCGGTGGTACAAGAAGACGCGCCACCCCAAGCGCCGTCTCAAGAAGCTCGGCACTATCATTGAGGCAGACGAGGAGGGCAGCACTGACTGTGAAAGCATTCCCATCAAGACGAAAGGCCATGACCACGAGGGCGATGGTGTTGATACCTCGTAAGTATGTCCACTGTTGCCTCTACTCTATTGCCCAGCTGATCTTCGCAGGCTATCTCCCAGATATCATCCCAATTCCATCACTTGGAGTGCGGCGGTCTCGTTGCTTTTGGGGAGAAGACATCTTATGTGGAGGTAAGAACACATTTGATAATTTACCACTCTTATCTGGTGAGGAAAGGTCTGCTCGAAAGTGCAATAGCCGCCACGAAAGGTCCACATATACGACACTTGAGGCTTTGCCCGCGACGTTTATTCCAGAGGCCTTTGTCTTAATCTACTGTCTAGGTGTCTGCGTTCTGTCTGCAGCAAGGAAGCCCACGCAAGATATCGGCTTCGGCCCGTGGAACATCCGTCGCTTTCTTTCCAAAATGACACCTTATGCCTTCTTCTGATCTCTTTGCGTGGAATATCCAACGGATATAGTGTCCTATATTCGAGCATACAATTGAGGCTGCGCTGTTGGTGCGAAGTCGTTCGAGATGTTTACACCCATCATTCCTTGCAATACCCCCAGTTCAGATGAACAGGCTTTTGACTTGCTATGGAGAGTGAGGGCGTAGGCAAGATGGGTATGTTTACGCGATATTTCTTCGAGTTCTCTAGATTCTGACAGTCTGAGAAAGCCTGCGTGACGATGGCGCGGACCTTTGGTTGTCTTCAGGCGGCATATGGATCCGTGTGGACCACGACAGATCTATGGGGTAGTGCAAGCCGTGGAAAGAACTCGGATTATTACTAAGAACTCTTGAAAGAACTTAATGCGAGAAGTCGTTGATTGTGTCGTAATCAAGGTCGTCAAGTCGCTGGTACGACGTATTCCGGCGGTCTTTGGGTCCTCGGTACGTTGGTTCTTCGGCGTGATCCGCTTATAGCTTCCTAATCTAGGGAAAAGAGCCTTGGTGGGTGCTGCTGTAACGGTAGCTAACGTTGGAGATCGCTGTTTCAAAGCTTCGGGGTCCATGGCAAGCGTGGAGAAAGGACTGAGATCAAGTTTTATAGATCATGTAAGCAAGTAAACAACATATACGTGCCGCGGGCGTAGTCCCTCTTGGCTAAGACTGACCCTGGCAACCTTGATTTCCCGAGCTTTGATCACACCGAGACCTCTAGCCTTGACAAAGTCAATTCCTTCTACCTGAGCAGCTGCTTGCTCTTGGCATCGCACTGTTTCGTACTCCTCCAACCCAATAGCATCATGCTCCCACGCCTTGAGCTTTCATACCTCTCTCTCCTCTTCATTGGTATCGAGTATAGTTTTAGGGGGGAGAACGAAGCGAGGTCTTCGCGCTTGTTCAGTTTCATCATCTCTGGCTCGAGTTTTTCTTGGTCCCATGATGACCTGGAGCTGAACACGCAAATGGCAAACGCAGGTTTGGCAGTCAACCTGGGAACGGATATGGTCTGGAATGGTGAACAGCAAAGCCTCCTTGCTGATATATCTTCCTGTGGTCTCCGCGCAGTCTTAGTCGTATGTGGTCTCAAAAGGCCAGTCTGGACTCTCAGTATTGTGTCCACCACGTCAGATTGATCGACACGGGGGCCTTTGTTGTTGAGGCAGGCGCCGTTGGACATGTGCGTTTGCGGGAGGATAGAAGACACGCGAGGACCTTAGCCTGGATTCGCCTTAGAGCTGCGGCTCCCAAGCATTGTGGTAGATCGTCTGCGTGATCTAAATCGAATCTCTGAGGGGGGTCACTAGCCACGCCAATGACGCAGTGAGTCGGCAGCTGTACTTACCCGCAATTCACCATATCGCTATCACCCTTTTCGTACACAGCTTGTGCTATGATATCCGTTGCAACGCGGTCCTTGAAGTCCGTTCCGTCGCCTGTGGATACGATGGTCTTGGCTTCGTCACGGATATCAGCGCCGTAGCTGTAGGCTGCCTCTTCGTGCTTCCATTCGATCTCGTCGTAGTAAAAGGCTGGCTCGTTCCAGGAGTCGGCATCACTACAGGTTGAAGCGTCGTCACTCAACTCAACTTGGGCAGAGGGGTCAGCCTTATCCTCCGATCCGATTCGACTGGGAGGATCGATCTCTTCGACCTCGACAATAGCCATGAGCCCCATTATCCACGTCGGTAAGTCTTTGGGATGGTCGTATTGCGCCGCATCTTTTTGAACGCGGTGTCTAACGGTCAACGCAAATTGTTACGCTGTGGTTGCGCGTTGCATCTTAGCGGGCTCGTTCTTAGAATTTATCACGGTGTCCTCGCTTTCGGAACTCATCGCGGCGGTCTCGTCGTTCGCAGGATTACGGGCTTGCATGCGTTGGTGTACGGTGGAATAAGAATGAGCAAACAACTGGTTGCGAGAAGTGGGAGACTTCTTGTACGCCAAGACGCGCTTCCTCAGTCACCTCTGGTCCCACGTTCACGCTCACCATGGTGGAGCTGCAAACGCCGAGGGCGGATCCTAGCGACACGTTTCTCATGGCCACCGCGGGGCAGAGAACGAGAGCGGGTCGCCTTCTGCTAGCATGTCGGATAACGGAAGTCTCGGTGGTATATGAGAGATATCTGGATCGATTGGAAGTGTGGCGAAGGCCTAGGGCCTGAGAGGTAGATGAGGACGATCAGTGGGAAGGCTTTGGATCGAATGGTTAGTTCTATGAGTCGACGGCATTATAAGTCTCGACGCGTGGTACATGGCTTGATTCAGCGATAAATGCTGTCCGGACCTGCGTCGCAAGTACAACTACTCGGTAGGAGCCTGGAGCGTACATCGTCCGATACCCAGGTACGGAGGTCGTGAAGGGCTACTGAATGCAAGACGTCTACTGCGCGGCGTTATCACAAAGACTTCTTGCTGGTCCTTGTCTTTGTTCTCTAGCTGGTCCTTGTCTTCAGTACTTGCGCATCGTTGACCGAGAGCTTCCCGACGCCCGTCTAGGAATCCAGCTCGTTTCATGGACAGTCGTTTGTACCGACCCTGCTCTTCCAGTCATTCACTTTGCATTCTCCATCGACCTCACGCGTCTCACCACTGTTCTCATCAGTCTCGTCGGTATGGCGCTCGTCACTGGTCTCGGTGACCATACCAAGCACAGGCACTCGACGATCGACCTTTTTCATCTACTCCCTCTGCACATACATGTCGCCAGGCGCTTTGGTGTGCGCTCTTTCTAGAAGCGGAATCATGCTCTATGGTGTGAGAGTGAGTTGACTAGGCTGTGTGTTGAAGCACCGATCTTTGCGCGTGTCACGCTTAGCGGACGTCTTTGTGGATTCGTTGCGGGGCGAAGACGATGGTTGCAGCAATCAAGGAAAAGGTAGTGTGGACAGACGACGCGTCAGGAAAGACGATGAACCTCAAATCGCTCCCACGTTCACCTTCATCGCTGATGTCAAGCGCAGGGTGGCAGATCATGAAGGCCCGTTAATGTATAATCCAATCCAGATGTGTACATGGTTAACAATGTCCAAATGGGGCAGCGCCAGTAAGCCGTGTTCCGGAGTTCCCAAGCTCTTTCGATAGAGTCGTGAGCAGACAAGGTTGAATACGCGTAGCGAGTGAACGTTGTCTGCAACGAGACAACCGCAAAGCTCTCCTCACCGGGATTGTTCTCCAATGTGTAGGAGACCACTTCTCTCAGTGCGAGTTCGATGCCGAGTCCAACGAGCCGTTCACGATTACCCCAATCCACGACCCTACCCTGCGCAAAGGTACTTTTTAAACCAGTGAAATTGGAAACTTCAGGTTTGAATTTGAGTCAGCTGTTGACTAGTCTTCGCGCTTAGTCTTTGCAGAAATCCCAGTTGAGCCAGACGGGTGGTTCAGCCTCGAAACGTGACTGCGCTACCAGCAGTGACGACACCGCGGGTGTAACTACGGAAGAGATCGTTGTATCCTGAGGAGCGTTGCGAGGGTAGACGTAGTTCATGGTGGCGGCCTCGAACGTGGTATGCGCGGGAGACTCCCTCATCGCAAGTGGCATGGCGGGCGTCCGGGGAGTGCGCAATCGGGTCGCCAGAGCCCTAGTACGTATGATGAAACCCTTCAATGGGCCTGCGTTCATTCTGCGAGTAGATGTAAGTCAAAGAAGAAGGTACTGTCGCAATAGTCAGACTCACGAGTGGCTTGCTGCGGCTTTGATAATCTGATCCGCCCGATCTCTCTCTTCCACGTCGCAGATCGCTGTTTCGCTACGGCAACAGTTGGTATTGCTGTCGGCTCTCGCGACCTGACTGGTATTGGTTTTCTTAGGGGGCTCGACGACCTGCAAGACCTCTCCCTCAACGACAACGCCTAGCTCATGTACCGAAGCCTTGAATCCGTCAACTTTCATCCTCCATGCTTCCATGTTGCTTTTGGTCTTTCCATGTGCCGTATGTGAAGCGTGAGCGGAACGCAGAGTCCTCAGCCTTCATTTTCAGCGTCGTGGTGCCGACCAACTGGCAAGGTGTCCGCACTGCAAGCGATGAGTAGTACTAGTCGCAAAGACACGCTCTACCTCACCAGCTCCACTTCCCTTGCCGCAGCCTGGCTGCTCATCAAGGAACGAGGGGCTTTTCGCATATGCTTGACCAAATTGTACTGCGATTCCATCGTTTTGTTGTGTATGCTCCACGTTGTACGGGTGGTATCGCACGATAGACCATAGCGTTATCATGTTCGTCGGCGCATGAAGGTTGAAGTCGGTGAAGAAGTTTGCATGATCAGGGCAGAGTAACTGAATGTGGCGAGGACGCGGAGATGGACGGGGAAGGCGCTAAGGTCTGAATGTTCGAGGTGAAGGGCGATGCTGTGAAGAGTGTTAGCTAGACTCTGGACGATTGCAACGGACGCGAAACTCAAGCTTGATGCGCGAGAAACGCCCCGCCTGCGTTGCTGCCCGCTGAACGTCCAATCTTGGCAGCGGAAGCCTTGCGACTTAGGTCGCCCACACACCCGCGGGTACCGCAAGCTTGAAAGGTACGCGGTTGTTGCCAGCCCGTAAACGCATCCTGCCCTCATGTTCTTGAAAGCGCGCCCTGCCGCGGGAGGTCCCGCTATCACCTCGCGGTTCCTGATACCCAGTATATGCCGGAGAAAGTATGGTGAACAAGGACGGACGTTGGAAGCGGAATAGACACCCATGTGTTGGAGGACACGCGCAGAATATCATCGACTTCGGACGCGTGGTCGGCGGGCAAGGCGCGGGTCGGGCCTTCAATAGGAAGAATAGAGAGTAAGCCAGCTCTTCTTCCCTATGCCAGCCAAGTTCCTCATCCATAAACGAAGAGCAAGTTGATTATTTGCATGACCCGTTGGCAGACACTCCCCGGGTATGTGTACGTCGTGTTCTGCGGACTGGTCGGTATGGAGGGCCATATCGGTGGTCTGCGCGTGTGCATTCGTCACGGAGTCGTTTTTCGCGAAGGAGGAGGTAAGCAGTATCTGCGCAAGTGTCAGGGATCTGTCGTGGCCAAAAATACGACATGTCGTATACCAACCATTGCTGCGCTTTTGTGCGCTCTGTCGCCGATTTCATCGTTTGTGTCTTTGCCAGCTTCGAGCGTTGGGGGAAGCTTGACGGTGGCCAAGTCCGTGCCGGTGCTGCGGTCGCTCCCAGGAAGTCAGACTGGATCGATGCTGGCGTGAGGTGACGCCGTTGATAGCGTAGCTGTCGATGACCAGGGTGAGGGCGTCGATCTCCTGGTGCCAGCCAGGCTGCTGTTCGCTCGCATCGGCGTCGTGTTTGATTGGCGAAGTCGTCACGGAAACGAGAAGTTCGTGATGGAGGCCCATCGAATGTATGCGCTGCAGGTGACTTTGCGTCAAGTCGCGGTGGACAAAGTTGTTGCCGCGCCGGTAGGCTAGAGCACTGAAGAGGCCGCTTGTGGAAGGCACCACGTGTGACGTGGACCTGTGCTCGATCGCGAGGTTGCAGGAGATGTGAGAAAGTCGACAGCGGCTCCGAGATTAGGCGCAGGGAAGGTCGCTGTTGTTGTCGTACATCTCCGTTGTGGCAATGACGCGCTTCCTGGACGTGCTAGGAAACAATGGCCACATGTGCGGCGTGACGAAGGGGAAATGATGTCCCGAAAACGAGTCTTGAACGGCGTGAGGATATATAGCTCGGTGCTGATGCCGTTGGTGCATAAAGTGTGGTACGTGTTGTAAGTGCCGACGCAAACACTACCTTGCCGAAGATGACGTGTTTCGATTTCGAGACACCATGTCACGTTCGTGTGAACATTGGAGTCAGCAACGAGAATTGAGGTGACGTTGCGGCCGTGGGCGCGACGGGCGCATGAGTCGCGCAGAATTCGGAGACATGAGATGTAGGTAGGATGTCGCACGTCGTGACATCTCGACGGTTTGAAGGTTCTGGGGCGCCGCTTGATCGTTTTAGGGCGTAGCGTCGCAGCTCCACCCCCCGGGGCCCGGCCCGCTCGAGTAGAACCCCACACCTTCACCACAGCACATTCAACCATCAACACTCTTGCCATCTCGCGCGCATCCAACTCTGCAAGATGCTCACTCCTTAGGCATTTCGCTAAATTGTCATTCCCTTTGTTCACCAGTTTCGCGACGCAAACGTCGAGGCTGTGCACCATGGACTGTTCGGGTCTTTCGCCATGGGATTCTCCAGATACGATTGCCTTTCTATGATGGCTTTATGTACCTGTCCTGGGATGTCAATCATTTGCTAGACCTTTGAAGCTCGTCTTGCTCATCTTCACTTGCCAACGCGCTCGCATACGGTCATGTACGCGACATGTCGCGTGCTGTACCGTGCGATTGCCAATTACACAATCATACACATGATTGTCCCAGACAATCGCGTTAATATGCTAGATGATCAGTCTCTAGCGATTCATCACCGTAACCTTCTAGCTGAAATACTGCCCGCCGACACCCGCTTTCCCCAGCAGCTCGCGGGCGTGAACCAAGATCTCCCGCAAGTCAAACGGTGGCCATGGCGGATTGCCCCAACTCAGGCAACATTCAACCAACTACGCACAGCCCTTGCCGCCATGCAGAAGACCTATCCGAGGCTGAACTGAGCGAGTACGGAACGGCCATGATGCGAGCGGCACGCGAGAGTCGCTGCCACTCAATCCATCTTTCAGTCGAGGGTGCGGATCGCGCCAATACCCCTACCAGCGACGATCACACGCATAGCGATTCCGTGGACGGTGATACGAGGCCAGCAGCACCTGCGCCCAGTGTTTGTCACCTTGGTCGTAGGAACGGATGTCGCATTGACAACCCTGAGCCTCAACATTGCGTCAGCCGTGAAGATCTTCTGACAACGTCGCACATCAGACCCCATACGATGACTGATGTTACCGCATCATGGACGCCCAGCCCGACACTGGTATCACTCAAGTGTAGGGCCGATTCGGTGGTGCGTAGGATCGGGGAGGATACCGCTGATCTTCAGAAGAATGTTGACAACGTCACTCGCCGTCTCGAGCGATACGCGAAGAGTCCGTCGTTCAGTGCTGGCTCTAGTAGGCATAACTTGGGCGATGACGAAGGGAGTTAGGAAGTGCATAGTGTAGAGGTAACAAGCAGCTCGTGAGCTTTCGACCGTCCGGGTGGTGAAGTTTGATAGTTGTCCCTGCTTTTGTCACGAGTACGTGTAGACCGAACTGACAGCTAGATTCCACGTTATCACATGTCTGAACTGGGGCTGAAACTACGGGAGTAAATGTACAGTTACACATCGCTCAAGATATCTGGGAAGATGAATCAAATTTTACCCATCGTGTAGTCTAATGTATTTCCCGAACCAAACGATGCATAGTGGGTGTCTGCAACCAGAACATCGTTACAGACCCCAGGAATGGCGGTACGAGAAGCACAGGATTTGAGATTCAAGGCGGGTAAAGCGGAAGTTCGATTTAGTGATTGCCGAAATGACGAAGAGGAAAGACGCATCAAACACAGAACTACACATATCGAAGAAAAGGTGGACGAGACATTGTAGGCACTTGATCAGCCGGTTGGTCGAAACGACTACGAATCAAGTCGTATCAGAAGCCAGTATACGGATAGTAGCGTCTACAAACTGCGCGAACATATGGTCAAGGGAAAACCTCCGCGACGAGAAGCAAAGAAGGAGATGAAGAATCTGCCTGGAGGGGTTTGCGCGTTTGTTACAGTGAAGCCTGACCCGATGAAGAGTTTACCTCATGTTTCATACGGAGAAGAACTTCCACGATGTACGTATTTGTTCCAGGCCCGAGAGCGATGTCTGGTAGGGTGCATAAACCTTGAACTCGAGCGCCCCCACACTGACAGAGGAGCGCTGCAGATGTGTGGAGTGAGCACCGCTAGCGGGATCTAGTTTTGGCGGGCGCCACAAGCGCGCGGGCAGAGTGAGCTAGTCAGGACCGAGCTTCTGGCAGCCATGGCGCCTCGCCCTTCTGCACTGGTTAGTCTCCCGATACATTCTGATCCCTCTTTTGACATCTACCCCTTCCCTTCTTATCCGTTGCCTGGCCAATGTCGCTCATCTTACATATTAGCACGTTGCCCCAGTCACGACCGCCTCGCTGCAATCACCTTACACGCGACAGTCCTCCTGTCGACGGCCCATTATGGCACCAATGACGTCACCTTCAACACCACCTCACTTTCGACGCTGGCCGTGACGGTGCTTAGCTTCGACAATTTCTCGGCCCACAACGCGCACCGTCAAGTAAACGTGCTAGCGATATACCGATTCGGACCCGGCATGCACGTACGTCCTATCACGAAGCGAAGAGCGATGACGCGACCCGCGACGACGCTCGCCAACAAGCCCAGCACAACCACAACCACAACCACGCGCCCGTCGTGACGAGACGGGCCTTGATAAGCGGTCCGCTGTTTCCGCGCGCTGACGACGATGGCGCCGTTGGTTTAGTCACCCATACGGCTGCAAACCCTGCATCGACGGAGAAGACAACGCACACTCCTTGGTACGACCGCGGGAGCGAGTCGATGAGCATGATGCGTCACCTGAGCAAAGAAGGATTTGCAAAATGAATATTCTTCAGCAGTAATGGAACGCGACGTGCTGAGTCAGGTGTCACGGCAGGCTACTGGCAAATTGTCGAACCTGCGCACCACGGAGGGCGTACGCCCGTAGTGAAGGTGGTCTAGCGACGTGACGTTGTAGCTAACGAACAAAACTCAACAATGCAGGAGTGGTTCTGACGTGGAGTTGACTGAAGCTATTGCTTTCGGACCCTCGCCTCCCACCCGCCGAGATAGACATCACCACGGTGTGCTGATTATTCGACCATAAACGGTCGTTACTGTGTGCAGGAAGCGGGAAGCGGGACCTCGTGAGGTAAATGCGTCGGTGCCTCTATGAGTAGGACATACTGAAGCGGGAAACCGTACAATGCCATGCGAAGTTCAAGCTCAATAGCGAGGGCAATATACTCTACATTGACGATGCGCTGAAAGAAAGGAACGTAAAGGCTTTAGGTGATGACCCAAGCTAGGAAATGAATGACATCGCGCGCCAACTTATACATTACATGATAACAATGTATATGCCCTGAATAAGAAGTGACTTTGATTCACCATGAACACCATCCCCGTGAATATGCCAGAGACCACCGAAACACCGAACCCATGTCGTGCTGAATAGACTCACCAAGTCTTCAAAGTGCCATAATCCTCAGCAACCGCTCATGTTGGCACTATCATCTCTCCTTGATCGAAAAGAACGGTCCCGAGGGCGGTGATAAAGACGCGCGACAACAAAGTTGACAAAACGATTGCCGATGGACTTGACAAAGGGGATGACAGAGAAGACATCCTTCGGCCGACAGTTGGCTCCCTCGCGCGCCTGCTCCGCACCTTCGCACATGTCTACGACGAGGTCGTTGCTGGCCTCTTGGCGTGTCGGAATCTGAGGCCAGGTAGGCTGAGGGCCGACTACATCGTGTGTCGGTTGGATCTTGTCGGGGAAGTCTGAGGCGATGGTGTTGGATGAAGCATCGACCTTCTTGCAAGGGTACAAGTCCGAGAAAGACGCCTCAACAGTGGCCCTCTCCACGTACCTCAGACTGGGTGCAGAGGTGAAGGGGCTTACCGAAGCATCGCCGTAGACATGGGCGACGGATTGGCCTTGATCGTGCTTCACTGGATCTTCAAAGGTCCGTGTGGAGGATTCTATCGGGAAGACCCAATCCATATTTAACCCAGGTACAGCCGGATCTGAGAAAGACTTCTCGTCAAAGGGTAAACCAGCTAGGGGCTCATCATCTGCCTCATAGCCAACGTCGTCGGAGCCGCCAGAGGGACTAGGTGGAAGCGCAACGGTGGCCGCAGCTGTGCCGGTGAGAATGTGTTCCCGACGGTACATTTGTTCAAGCTCACCTTCTTCGTGGCGTGTCTGGACAAGCTTGCATGAGTTGAGACTCAACTGGGCAAGCTCGTAGTCATTCTCCTGGGGGTGGACCAATCCCTCGTGCGCATGTGACCTCTCGCCGAAAGAGTCCCGACGGTACAGGTCGTCTCCATCAGCGCGAGAATGCGACCCAGCTGAGTGACTGATCTTGTCCACCCAATGCTTCGGCAGCTCACCATATGGCGGCCCATAGGAAGCGCCGACTGAGCGCTTCGGGTCGGAGCTGGGGCGGTCGGTGACGTTGTTCCCCCACGGGCGATGAGCGACCGGTCGGGTGAGGCTCGAATTCGTGTCTCGGTGGCGATTATGAATCGATTGCGACACTCCAGGTTGGCCCATTGGGCAGACGGTGTGGCCGGCCTCAATGGTGCCCCCAAATCTAGGCTCCCAGTACTCGGTCCCGTTGCGGAGAAGCACTAGAAGCCCACCAGAAACGGCCGTGAGGTCTTCGAGGGGCTGCATCTCCTCGGTCCGGAAACCCCACCTCAAGCTCGATCCGCCATTGTGAGAGAGACGCCATGGAGCTACCTGCCCGTCAGGCCGCACCTTGTAAAAGCCCCTTAGCTCTTGGTCGATTCCGGTTACCGCTGCGTCCAGCTCATCCAGGTATCGATTGATCTTCTCTTGTTTCTCGCTTGGATCGTTGTGAAATGTGCGCGCGGAAGAGTGGAGGCGCCGGGGACATGCGATGACTACGTGGTCTGGGAGTTCTATCGGCCTGCGATCGAGAATTCGTGCGGGTGGAGCCGTCGATACCGAGCCTGAAGCGCTATTAGATGGGATGAAAGTGCCAAAGGTTGTGGAAGACGTACCATTGTCGGTGCGAAGGACGAGCCTCTCCACAGGGTCTTGCGCCAGTTGCTGACCACGTTCCAAAAAATCCTCGCGGGGCAAAGTGTGTTGAGTGGTGGAAGGGCATTCGTAAGACGAGCGCTTGAGTTCGTTGGCTCGGTACATGTTCGGTGCCTAGTCGAAGGGTATGAAAACAGTGGCTGGTTGGATGATGATTAAAGATGGACGGGACGTTTGGACAATGGTAAAGAAGGTATCTGCGTATGGAGTGATAGTTGTTCATTACCTGAGTCCGAAGATAAGCTCGTCGTGAAGATGCCAGGGGCTTGCGAGACATCATAAGCCCACGCCGTTGCAGAGGCCATGATATTGGAACAACACAATTGACTCTCCAAACATATCTAGACAAGGAGTGCCGTCTCTTCGAGATGACCATTGCGCGAGCGCCCGATACCACGCGGACAGCGTCCGGCACCGGCGTTTGCAACTGCGGATGTGCCGACGGAAAAGATATTGGACGTCAATACTGACGTTCCGCACGGCCAGGTAAGCAAAGGATAACGGTCTACTATGACGATGCTTGCGTGTGATTCCTCGACGTCCAGGAGTTGTCAAATCCATTGCGTTTCTCCGCCGCAATCTTACTGGGTATAGCCTCGTTGCCCTCTCCAATGGACTGGTTGGTCTGTGTGACGGGTTCCCGCTACCATAATCAGCTGCGCAGTGACTTTGTCTTTGACTACCAACGCGTTCAGCCATGTCGTGCCGAAGATTCGCCTCGGGTTTGCCATCTGCGGGTGACATGCAGCTACCATGCATAGCCACGTGAACGTTGACGGTGATAGACGTGGGTGCCGTGGGCGCTGGGGCTCATACATTGTGGGGAGTGACTGTGATGGAAGCAGCGTTGCCGTCTCTTCCGGATCCGACTTGCGCCACCTCCACCTGCATCAGGATGTAGGTGTCACTACTATGTTGACAAGGGCGCTGGGCTTGAAGTTGTCGTTTGTTCGATATGCAAGGCGTCGGTTCCTGGGGTGGTGGCTGGGTGTCTGCTATTCAGGCACGGATGTGGGGGTGCGGCAGTCGGGGCACGGGTTGGAGTGGCTGGAAAGCAGAGATCATGGCGAGTGTTACTCGCCCAAACCCTGGGCCGGCTCTCGGGTACCCGGGAAGACAGCCAGTCGGCGAGTTCTAGGGTCGACCGAACCCATGCAAGAGTCTGTGCGGCTTGAAAGGAAACGTTACACAGCATTCTGAGCCCATTTACACACGGCGGGCCGTGAAGTGATACGTCGCGCGCTCGCAGAAACAGCGGTGGAGCTTGTTAATGACGCGGTGAGCAGAAGCAACAGTGGGGACTGTGACTCAGAGACCAGGCGGCTGGAAATTGCGTGATGAGTCCGAATGGCATATGTTCCAAGTGATGGGTCGTGCAAAGTGAGCCAAATGGCCACATCCGTGCGCAGTACTTGCGAGTGAACATGGTAAAGCGACAATGCCGCTCGCGTAATGGGAACGTGGTGAAAATGTCGGGATGGTATGGCGAGCTAGCGTTCTGGTAAAGCTTCTTTTGGTCTGCCGGGACTGCAGCTAAAGTGCCAATGTGACAAGCATGCAGCCTGGCGACTACGTCGTGAACTGCGTCTTGTGTCTGGATGTTTCGAAGCCAAAGACGGGAGCGGACTGAGACGTGTGGAGTAAGCTTGCGGATTACGCCGTGTTCATTAGTGTGTTGGCAGTACAGAGAAAAGACCCATGATCATTCTGCCCGAGTGCATTATTGGGGAGTGAAGGTAAAGGGCGAAGTGTACTGGAGAGGCGACGTTGGACGCAGATGGAAAGCGCGTCTGAGCCGTGACCAAAGTGAGGAAGCGACGGGACTTTCCCGCATCTCGCACCCTCCGACGCTCATCCCAACCGTAAAATCGACCCACTGGGAAAGTTGTCTCCACCACGGGAAGTGGCACGGACAGTAGCACAAGGTCCGCTAATAATCGGCGTAGGCATGCCCATCAACGCCACCAGGCCACCGCTACGCGAGAAGCATCATGGCAACGAGTGGGTACCATGCAAGCTGTTTGGTGGATCTTGATCCTTCGTCTTCTTCCAATCGAGCCATTCAGCGCTATCTCGGTCATGTTCCTGGGACTGAGGGCGTGGCCAATAGCGAACCGAGACATGACGACAGCGATGGCAACTCATGGTGTAGCCTCTTCAGATGTGATGTATAGCCAGTTTGGCTGAATATGCAGAGTAATGTTGGGTGAGGCGTCGGTGTCAGACCAGAGACATGCGGGCGTCGCACGGATATTGGGGTGACAGTGGAAAATGCGGTCACAGCACGGGACGTGCTCATGAACTCTGAGATATTGCGCCCCAGTAGGTTTCAAAACGATGGGCGACTGTAGTGGGTGTCCGATCCGTCCTACAAGAAGGGCGCGCTGAGGAGACGCAAGACATAGAGCCTCCCCTACCCAAGGCGTTTGATACCGTTGTGCTCGTCCTCAGTCGTTCAGTCCACCTCTCAACCATCTGCACTGTACTTTCTCGGGTCCCAACAGATTGCGAAGTATTCGCAACGCCTCCCTTCGTTAACATGCCTTCTACGAAGCGACCTGCTCCACGATCCGCCTCACCGCAGACCCCTCCCCCCAAGCGCATGAGGACCTCCGACAGTGTCCAAAAAGCAACGCATTCGAGCATATCTGCGGTTGAACCAGGCGTTATTGATGTTATGAACCGCGCGCTGGACTACACCAACGCCGCAACGAAGTACTGGAAGATTGCCGCCAAGGAAGCCAATGCCGAGATCGATCACTGGAAGAAGGAGTGCGAGCGATGGAGCGACAGGGCTAGCAAAAGTGATGCTGCTGTGGTGGACGAGAAGCGTGAGAGGCTCGCGGCGCAAAACGCACAGCAAGACGCGGAGCGTCGCTGCGCCCAGTTGTTGGCAAAGCTGGCCACACACAGGGACGCCCTCCTGCAGATTGGCGGCCTGTCCAAGAGAACGATCGATGGTAAGTCCTAAATCTACAAAGTGCGTATAAGACCCATGCTAATCTCGTACGTCGACCTTTCAAGGCCCGAGCACCCTTTCCGTCTTGGAGGAAGAGAGATGGGAATCAGAGCACCCTAAAGACGAGGGTAACCACGACGGATCAGAGGTCTCTGGAGACGAGGGCTACCATGGCATCTTTGCAGATGAGAGCGACCTTGATGATTTGGAATGGGCGGGGATTACAAGAGAAATGCGCTCACTGGGATAGACGGGCGGGTGCTAGTGAGGCGCGGGTGGTGATGGAGTTCCAGGCAATGTATGTAACAAATGACATGAGTATTTCCAATCTTTACTCTGTGCTGCTTTCTTCGTCCGCCCTGTTGCTAGTGAATGTGAGGGTGTTGGGGTAGATAGGTGCGTCGTGAGGGAAACCAGCATCGAGGTCGCTACGTGAACAGCGGAGAACCCGGGACGCCAGCGGGGGTCGCATCAACTCGGGTGCGCATGGCGCAAGCGACGCTGGCAATGATGGGGGCTCGTGGAACGGGTACGACACAGGCCTCGCTGCATTCTGCCTCGGTGGGGGTGCGCGGCATCTCGCGTACTTCTTTCGTGACGGTCGTCTGGGCGAGGCATTCTCTTTGCCGGCCTCCGCATCGTACTCTGGATCGTCGTGGCTAGAGACAAAGCGAGGTGCCGGCATGCAATCCATAGGAATTTACTGCGCCATCAGTTAGCTTTGCGTTCTTCGCAGTATCGCCAGAGCTGTGCGCGTACCTCAGGTGTACCGGCTATCGCATGATGGTCAGGTGATGTGACATCACGGCAGACGCTGAGATGCCTGTGAGAGCTCAGCGACCTTTTGGTGTTACATCGTTAACGGCGACCTAGTCATTTGATAGACTCGACCGGCAATGAGCCGCGGGCGATACATGGTCGGTCGTTGTGGACATGGAGGACAGGCCAACGCGTCTTCGTACGCGACATGGCAGGCGCGACTCGGATGCCGCCGATTGGCCCGTCCTGCCGCCCCACGGTACCCCACATCACGCCAACACCAACACCCATCCCACCGTCGCCCACGCCATGGCAACGTCCACCACCCTGTGCTTGCCCAACGTCTCACTGATCGCATATGCACCACGTCGCTTTTCATGCACTCCAGCGCTGTACTATCCCTGCACCGGCTGCAAGCTGAACCTTCAGCGTCGTCCTGGTACTTAGATGCATGAGCGTCCCCGCCGGTTGACGTCGGGCTCAATGCTGCTATCTCGAGCGAAGTCTGCAGCATTTCTGCTTGGGCTGCCACGCATTCATCGAAAGAAGCTTCGTTCGCGCCTGTCTAGGCTGCAGGCCTCATCGCCCATGCAATCTGCTAACACACATGGCGTAGAGGTTCACCAATGCTCTCTGGCTGCGGCTGCCCAGACATCCGAGATCAAGCTGCGCGTTCACAGTTGGCGTTCGGCTCCTCGAGTAAGCAAGTATATGAACGCAATTGAGTCGTGAAAGGTAGCCCTAGACGTAATAGTGCGAGTCGAGTGTTCCCAAATCTGGTAGCGACCTCCAGGTACTTTTCAGTTTTGCCGGTATTCTCCGGGACTTTTCGCGGACAGCCAATTCTCATAGTGAGAACGCTTCTTCCAATACGAGAATGCATCTGTTATTTTAAGTCACTAATCTTGAACATTGCGCTATAGGATGTATGGTCAGAGATGTACGCGTCTTCTCTGTGATGAAGAGCACCCGGGACGTATTTTGCTGCTTTCCCGAAAGAGAGCAAACGCACGTGTACTGGATGACGTATCCGCAAGCATATGATCGGTAGTGTCATATATGACACCACCTTTCGACAATAGACAGTCCTGAGGAAAGGCCCAATGGTACGGTGGAAGACGGTGTTTGCACGGGCACATGTCTTTCAGCGACACGTGTTACGAGTATTCCGCCTTACCTCCCACAGAATTTGCGAACGCGGCGCGAGCCCATCTTTCCATCAATTCCATCGTTCGCGCAAGGCCCCGCTGCCACCAGTTGTTACCGCTGGTGAGGTAATCTTGTCAGGAGATTCTCAAAGCGGGGTGGAGTCTTTTGATCTGCCATAGTAATTGATGAAGTCAAAGGAATTGGAAGTAGGTGCCGTGACTGTGTGGCAGTAGATTTGTTTGGCTTCATTTGGTATTGTTTGTCTCTCGGACTGGACCCATCAGCACCCCGCCCAGACTTGTTGCTACGTGACCGCATCCTTCACTCCTATAAAAGGTAGGAATTAAGACACGTAACGTTCTATCACGACCAAAAGAACCCTCGATAACCTCATATCGCGAGTTGCCACTCCATTCTTTAACGCATGATCTTTGAATGCGGCACCTCTTATTGCCTGATACCGACCTAGGCTACTCTGGATCAGCTATTCTGTGACCATTTCGTCCACGTTTCATTTCTCATCTGGACGGTTAGATGTCGACATACTAGCGAGTGAGTTTTCTCTGCGTTTTTGTCCACTTCAAAGACGTCTTACGGAGCTATACTGAAGCGGGCAGGTCTTTCATCGTATCCAGTCGGTTCGAAACAGCTTGCCGAGCATACTCCATCACATCAATTGCGATGCCAAGGTCGTCCCCACTCCCACCGCCCCGACCGTTCTACCAGGAGAAGGTGCTACCAGATCCCATCTGGGCTGGTACCACACATAACATCCAGGACAGTACTTTGGCCGCCATGGAGCCTCATGACGGAATGGTGGCAGTAGTACGAGCGGAAAGAGGAACTGAGGCTGGGACGTACACAAAGGTTCTCGCAAACCGGCTCGCTACCATGGCCGCGTCGAACGGAAGGTTGACCACCTGCCTCTCGGTCACTGGATCCGAAGCTCATGGAAGGGATCTATCTGCTCGCCTTACAAAGCTCCAGTACTCGCCAGATCACCTCACCATAGTGATCGGGAACGACGTTCACACGGTAGCGCCCTACCAAGCGTTTTTGAACGGCATCCTTACCTCTCATGTAAGCACACGCTAGGAAGAGAGCAGACGTAGCTAACATTACAAGCACATTGAGGACACGACCCATCATTCTTTTACACGCTTGACTGCGATGAAGCAGGCGGTGTTCATCTTCACAGTCGACGCAGATGTCAAACTGTCAAAGTATTTCTTGTCTCGCTGCACAACGTTCATCACCTTGCGCCTGGCGGACAGCCCCGCTCTGCCAACACCACCTTCAACCACACCGGAAGTTTTAACCGCGCCTGCCGTCCTAGAGGTGGTGTCTGCCTTGCCTTGGGCGGGATGAGGCGTCCACCGCTACCAGAGCTACACACGCTCTGAGCTCTTCATGTGGCGCGTCAAAGACCATCTATTCTCGTATTCAGGGTCGATCTTGGGCGTTTGGAGCCGCCTCACAGTCTGCTTTGTTCGCTCGCGCAGGGTGACCACGGCTGCACAAAGCTTCTGCAACAATATACAATTGCCACCGCTGTCTTCATTCTCATTGGGGGCGGATTATTGAGCCAGGGATGCAGTCGTACTCAACCTTCATCTGTGCAGTCCTCACGGCCTTCTTGGTCTATGTGTTTGTAGTCCTTCATGCGTAGGTGCTGTGGATGTGGCATAGGTAGTTCGATTACTCGATCTGCATACCAATGGCATCCTGCTACACACCCAGCACTCGCGAGCTTTGGGGAAGAGACTCTAACTTTGCGTTGCAATGCGACTGGAAGCCTTGCCTATACACATGTCGCTCACTGAGCAGCTACACGAGCCATAATGCGCCGCTAGTACCGACACTTGAAGCAGATTTGGTATTGGCGGAGCCCTGGCTGTCCCTGGCAAACGATAGCACTGCGGTCACTACGTGCATCTAATTCGATTGGCACATGCGATCGTAGGAGACATTCACATAATTTCCCCTCACGCCTCGTTTCGTGAAAGTCACAACGTAGTTATGGCAGCCTGTCTTTCGAAGCAGCTGCCGCAGACACCACCGTTGCGTGCAAGACCCCAATAGTGGCGCTTAACGCCTCCTTCGCTGGAACCCATTCACATTCTTGCACCTCCACGGGTCGTCTCCTGTGGGGCTATTCTCTGGGTTGCGAGGCTGAACCCCGCTCGGGTAGGCTGGCGTTTGAGAAGCTTTTCCCCCGTAAATAGCACAGCTGGGTGCCGCAGTGGTGATGGCCATTGATGTATGCGTCGCATAAAGGCGTGCAGAGATATGGCTGCAGTGTCTTCGTCTCAGATGGTGCTGCGCATTCCAGCAAGGCCGACGTCTACGGGTGCATCGGAGTCAGGATTAGCGATGTGTGTTCTCAGGCCTGCGCGGTCTCACCCCCTCACCTCGGCTTGCGGGCGCAACCCTGAGAACGCTATGCCGTTAGCGTGGACGGCTCACTCGATCGGGCGCAACCGCCCAACACTCCGCGACTCCCCACCTCGACCAAACTTACACGCGCAACAACATTTCCGGCCGGATATGAGCTATGGCTCGTCGCGACATCCGGTGACTGGGTCACCACTGCTTCCACCATCCGACTCACCACAAGCCTCCAAGTACCTAGGTACTCTCAACTTGGGGGCAGACACCACTCCACTTGCTCTCGAACATGAGCCGGCAGCCGCTACTCACTTTCGACCCGACGTCACCTGTCCCATCGAGCTCCTTTACTCCGACAACGCCAAGCGACTGGCTGTCATATGACTGAGTGCTCACACACGACTCGACCTCGACCCGGAAGAGCGAGAGGAACTTCAAATACTGCCGTGCCCAAGCATACACCAATGACCGTGATGCCCTATACTGGTTCTACGAACCTTAAGCGGATTGGTATGAGTCTGACATCGTGACATGAGCGGGTTGTTTGACAGGAAACTTACATCGATGCATGCGTCTTGGAGCCTTCGCGATCAACTTGACCGGGACTATTACACCGAGCACGTTTGTCTGGCTACCGGAGCGCGCCATTGGAGCCACCTAGACATGCTGCCAGTGACACGCCTATTATGACAACCAGGAGAAGAAGCTCAAGAATG